GTTGTCTATCCGAGACCCGTATTCAAGACTCTGGCGAAGTACTACAAATTCGATCTCCATCTGTCGCTTCGAAAAGCTTGTTTTACGTGCGCTTATCCGGGGACCCTGTGGCATCTTCGTCTGGTCTTGCTGGCGTTGGTGTCGCACTAAGCGCTAGAGCTGAGGCAGCACTAGTCGATTGGATCCCCATTAACAGTCGGTTATGTGCTGTTAGATTAGAAAGTTCCATCAAAGTGAGAAGAAATCGGCGTGAGAAACGATGTCTTTTCGTCATCTCCGCCTATGCCCCGACAGATTGCAGCCCGGATGCAATCAAGGATGAGTTTTACCACCAGTTATCAGTTCTTCTCCAGAAAGTGCGTTCGACAGATATTGTAGTACTAGCCGGAGACTTGAATGCTCAGGTCGGGCGTCTAGGCACAGAAGAGAGTCGTTTAGGTGGCCGATGGGGACTCGTTGGTCGCAGGTCAGATAACGGGGACCGTCTACTGCAACTTTGCACAGACCACAACCTGTTTCTGGCTAGCACTAACTTTCGGCACAGTCATCGCCGATGTGCCACCTGGCGTCCTCCCTCTGCATCTCAAGCCTGGACTCAGATTGATCACATCGCGATCAGCTACCGCTGGCGTGGTTGTGTACAAGACTGCCGCTCCTTTTGGAGTACCTATCTGGACTCTGACCATGCCTTGGTCTGCGCCAATCTTGCCTTACTTTTCAGTGGACAACGAAGTGAACGCCATCAACGGATTGATGTTAGCAAGCTGGTTGCAACTTCTGTTGCAAGTAAGTATCGAACCGAGCTAGCCTCTAGGCTAGCTACCACTCCACCGAAAAGTATAGATGAGCATTGGTTGCAATTGCATGACGCCATGAAAATGGCGGGAACAGTCAGTTGTGGGTTTGCGAAACGTCCCGCTTTTAAGCACTGGGTTTCTTCTGGTTCCTTACAACTCATTGAAGCCCGTCGGTCTACTCCGGGTGACCGTGAGTTTGACCATAAACGAAGGATGTTACGTAAGGAAATTGGGCAAAGCTTGCGTAAGGACCGAGAAGCCTGGTGGTCGATGCGTGCTAATGAGCTGGAAGCAGCAGCTGCATCTGGTAACTACCGGAAGCTCTTCCAGCTCATCCGAGCCACTGGCAGCAAGAAGTCTGGTGTGAGTGAAACAATCTGCGAGGATGATGGGATGCCAATCACTAACATCCATCGACGTCTTGGACGATGGGCAGAATTTTTCGAAGGGCAGTTCAACTGGCCTGCTGCTCCGGCAACATCGGTCAGACTGTCCTGCCCTCCATGGCCGGTGACGACTGATCCACCAAATGAGGAGGAAGTCCGCAAGGAACTCCAACTCTTGAAGCGTTACAAATCACCTGGCCCAGATGACTTACCTCCGGCTCTTTTTAAAGATGGTGGTGACTTTTTGACTAAGGAATTGACGACGTTGTTTACAAAGGTTTGGGAACTAGAGAGTGTACCAACGTCATGGAATGAGTCGATAGTTGTCCCTATCTTTAAAAAGGGTTCACGTCGTTCTTGTAACAACTATCGGGGGATAAGTTTACTTCCGATTGCGTCCAAGCTATTGGCTTCCGTCATTCTTCGTAGGTTGTTCAAAACCCGAGAAAGATTGACTCGCGAGGAGCAGGCTGGGTTTCGTTCTGGTCGAGGATGTATTGATCATATCTTCACCCTCCGCCAAATGTTAGAACACCGCCATACTTTTCAAAGGCCAACAATCGTAGTGTTTCTTGACATCAGGGCTGCCTTCGATTCGTTGGATAGGACTGTTCTCTGGGATTGTCTATTGAAGAAGGGTGTGCCTGAGAAGTTTATTAACATCCTAAAAGCCCTGTATAAAAACACCTCAGGCAGAGTGAGGGCATACAACCACCTCTCTCCATTGTTCCATTCGAGCAGTGGGGTTAGGCAGGGTTGCCCAATCTCACCATTCCTCTTCAACTTTGCCATCGATGACATTCTGGAAACAGCTCTGATGAATGTAAGTAATGGTGGTGTGGATCTGTTGCCTGGAGAAAGACTTCTCGACCTTGAGTATGCGGACGATATTGTCTTACTGTGCGATAATGCCCAAGGCATGCAATCCGCACTTAATCAGTTGGCAATCAGTGTCCGTAGGTATGGTATGTGCTTTGCACCTTCGAAGTGCAAAGTACTTCTACAAGACTGGCAGGATTCTAATCCTGTACTCACCCTGGACGGTGAGCAGATAGACGTAGTTGAGAAGTTCGTGTATCTGGGTAGCTGCATAAGTGCTGGTGGGGGTGTGAGTGATGAGATCAATGCACGAATAGTGAAAGCCAGAGCGGCTTATGCCAATCTGGGCCACCTTTGGCGCCTTCGTGATGTTAGTCTGGCTGTAAAAGGTCGGATCTACAACGCGTCGGTGAGAGCAGTTTTGCTCTATGCTTGTGAAACCTGGCCTCTCCGAGTTGAGGACGTTAGACGACTCTCTGTGTTCGATCATCGCTGTCTCCGAAGGATTGCTGACATTCAGTGGCAACACCATGTCAGTAATGCAGAGGTTCGGCATCGTGTGTTCGGGCACAGAGATGATAACTCAATTGGTGTCACCATCTTGAAACACCGACTTCGGTGGCTTGGACATGTTCTCCGAATGTCGTCCCAGAGAATTCCACGTCGTGCATTATTTGCCGACTCTGGGACTGGTTGGAAGAAGCGGAGAGGTGGTCAGTGCATGACATGGTGTCGTGGCATGAAAGAAAGCTGCAAAGGACTGGCTTGTGTTGGTCCTTCACGACTCCCTGGTTGGGGTCCGAGAGATGGTGCTACACAGTGGCTAGAGACGTTATCAGATATGGCTCAGAATAGAAGCCAGTGGCGATCCTGCTGTAACCTTCTTTTACTTTCTTCATAAAAAGTGGTTGTGTCTCCCTTACCTGAAAGATTTCTTCTGATTGTACCTCTTCGTCATTACTCTCTTTTTCTTTTGCGTTCCTTAGTTTTTTTTTTTCTCTTTCTACTTCTCTTCGAATTCCCATTGTTTTGTGTGGCGCATATATATTGGCGCTCTCTTGTACCAATATTTATGTGTTCAAATAAAATATTAACCGAAAAAACTCTTTATGGTCGTATTATTTCTGATTGATCTTTTTATGCAATTATAATAATTATTACTAGTTTACGTTTATTTCACTCTCATTTACTGATTCGGATTCATCTTTGTCGTTTTGCCATTAAACTTACCTTACGTTCTCTATCACTTCACAATCCCATTTATGTTGTGTGGCGCATATATATATATATATATATATATATATATATATATATATATATATATATATATATATATATATATATATATATATATATATGCCAACTTGTCTCAATATTTGTGTTCAAACAAACAATCTCATCGGTCACGCCAGCATCAAAACCCACAAAACTACGCAGATATACAAACTTTTCAGCTACTACTAACGGCTATCAGAACGGCAAGCCGAAGAAAAGCTTGGTTTAACGTCTGCATCTGATCCTTTTATATTTATTTCAACACAAATATTGGTACAAGAGGGCACCAAATATATATGCGCCACACCATATTTGTGTGTGTGGGCTGTGATACTGCCCGGGTGCCCAGATCGAAGCAGGTGGTTATCTTAGAGGGCCACATCCCGAGCCTTTGACCTAAAGGTCCAATCCACAAGGCAGTGGAGCATCGTGAGGAGATGCAGTCCCATGGTAGCCGGTGACCGAAAATTGGTTCATACGCCATTTGTTCCTTCAGGATACTAGAGCCCATGTGCACCATTGGTTTGGGATCCGTGTGAGAGCATTTCGAAAAGGAGGGCAGGTCCACCCCACTCTCGGCTACACCAGGGCATCTGATCCTACTTTTTTATCGATGAGGCTGACCAGGTACGTGATTCTGCCTTCTTCAGAGTTTCACCATCAAGTATGGTTGATTTGGTGTTCTCCGTGTAGGAGTTGGGGATTTCGATTTTTCCCTTGTGTATCTCAAAGCTTATTGTAGAAGATGCTTCTGATACACTAATTGTCTTCATCTGCATTTTTAGTGTGTATGAGGTAGAAGGGCAAGGTCATCTGCAAAGTCCAAATCTTCTAGTCGATTCCGAGCTATCCATTATATTCCGTGCTTTCCCTCAGATGTCGAGGTCTTCACAATCCAGTCAACCACCAGAAGAAAGCGGAAGAGTGAGAGTAGGCAGTCTTGACTGACTCCGGTCATTAATTTGAATGTATCTGTCAGCTGTCCTCTATGCAAGACCTCGCAGCGTAGTCCGTCGTATGAATCCCTCAGGTACACTATAATGTTGAAGAAGGTTCCATAAGGCTCTCCTATCCACGCTGCCAAACGCTTCCTCGTAGTCAAGTAAGTTGATGTATATTGACGAATTCTATCCAACCGATTGCTTAACAATGATCCGTGTCGCAATTTGATCTGTAAACGATTAAACTCTACGGAATCCAACCTGTCGTTCTAGAAGTTGGGCGTCCATAGAACCTTTCATTCGGTTCAACAACATAGTGTGGAAAAACCTTCCTGGCACCGATAATAGTGATCCCAGTCTAGTTCTCACACGAAAAATGGTAACAATTGCACAGCTTATACAATCCTAACGAGTTATACACAAATGGAATGTCTTAAAATCTAAAAGCTGTGCTAGATCATACTCTAAGTTCATCATTATTAGGAAAACTTGGTTTAACTGCCCTGATTATCAACAGAGATGGACATTTGTGGCAAATGAACCTTACATGTGAAACAATTTTACTGCTTTCACGCTGCTTTTTACTTTTTCTTGCACAATACTGTGGCTTAATTAATGATCTAAAGCACAATGATAAGTCTAAGCAACAAAACATCAATTATCAACCAATTGATTTAATGTAGTGACTAACACGCTGAATTAAGAACATAATAAAAACTTAGAAGACGACTAATCATATTACTTATGGAAATTTATTAGAAATATGTCCACGAAAAACTTACATTCCATAGCTTCGAAAACTCTCCTTGTGTTCACTAGAACACTTTTGACTTTCTTGTTTGCGATTTTTAAGTCTGCCTCATGGTCTGACAAAGCCTTTCGAAAATTCGGGCTGTCCACAACACAATCACGAAACTCGAGAGGGCTCAACACGGGCATTGCACATAAATGCACACGACCTTCGAACCGTAAGAGTGCAAGGTCATACAACCATAAAACTGGAAAGTTCAAACTTTTCTGGACACTGTCATTATCTAGTCAGTTCCTTGGGGTCTGTACCTGAGGGATTGTAATGGGTTACTGGTTAAGAAGAGATTTTCGAGAATCACGACTGGAAGTACTATGACTGATTTTTTGATGTACTAATGTGGACTTTAAAACTGCCTGATCTGAAGGTGATCAATTCAGTCTTCAGTCTTCAGTAATAAGGATAGTAGGTTGATGAACCTGTATTAATCCTGAAGCACTGCCTTCCAGTGAAGGTCCATCTTCTCCTTGAAAGCATTCACTGATGGGGCTGATACCACTTGTTCGGGTAAGGCGTTCCAATCATTGACTACTCGATGAGAAAACGGGACCCTACTTTAAGTTTATTAGATCTTGGTTTATGAACTTTCTTGCTATGACCTCGGAGATTATTAGTGCTGGAGGGAGCAAAAAGATAAGACATATTAACACCCAACTCATAATTAAAGATACGAAATGCCAGTATAAGGTCACCTCGTGTCCTATGATACGACAAGGGGAAAAGATTTAGGCGTTTTAAACGCTCATCATAAGGGAGTCTAGAAAGACCCTTCACTAATTTCGTTCCCACACAGTGGACACGCTCAAGGGAGTTAGTATCCTTTACCAGACACGGGCCAGCTGCTTGGATACAGTACTCTAAGTGTGGTCTTACATAGGTGGGATATAAAATTCGAAACGTTTCCTCGTCAAAAGATTTGAACGCTCGGCAAAGTGACCATAACGCACGAAAACCTTTGACAGCGGCTGCTTTGCAATGCGCAGTTGTTTTTAAATCATGACTTAATATTACCCCAAAGTCCTTATGCTCTTGAACACATGGAAGAGGCTTACCCTCAATAGTGTAACGGTAACTATTACCGCGACCGACGTGCATTAGTACACTCTTCCTAGCATTGATTTCTAAGCCCCACTCTCGAGCCCATCTAACTAAATCTTCTAAGTCAGCTTGAAGATCCACATGATCAGCCGCACTTTTTATTGTTCTCCAGATTTTTACGTCATCCGCAAACAATAATGTCGACGACCTAAGTAACAGCGGTAACTCATTAACATAGAGAAGGAAGAGCAGAGGGCCTAAGATGGTGCCTTGTGGTACACCACTTTTGACCGGCTTCCAATTTTTATGTTGATTCATAGAATTAGTGGAATGTGATAGATATCCCCATTCTTATAGTTGAAACGCTCTTTAGTCATCAATTTGTGTGCAATAGCTGGTGTTTTCAGTTCGCTAATTTACGGCGGCCTGCTCGGATATCTGGGCTATCTGTTCCGCCGATCTAGATATTTCTCCAAGTTATCTGTTTTGTTGTTTGTTTTAGCACATCAGTATGTCTATTCTGCTCATAATCTATTCGGGCGCGTTTATGAAAAGTTTACAACCTTTTGCTATACGGGATACAGAAAGGTACAATCAGCGATATCATGGTGGCTGACAATACGCAATGAAGCGAATGATCATTAATCAAATGTGGATTATCGAATTCCTAACATCTAACTGGTCATCATTCAAAATTTATCGTCACAATCGATCAAGATATAAGAAAAGGAAACTTGTTGAAGCACTTTATGCTGAGAATTCTATGTACCAAAAATATAATGTTGAATAAAGCTTCTAATAATAATAATAAATTTTTAAAAATTGCCCGAGTGCTGTTTATAAGTACATGGTTTCCTGTTAGGAAATCATTTAAAGCTCTGACTTCTGCATAGGTACTTGTTTCAGTCAGTGATAACTGCTAACTTCGGTTGCCGTCGTTCGAGTTTATTCACATGGACACTTACAGAAAAGAGAGTTAATGTAATTTAAGCATTAGATCGGTTTACGGAAATAATCAAGGTCGTTTGTCATGGATCGTGTGCAGGTTGAAATCGCTCCAGTACGAACCACTCATAGACAAGCCAACATAATCCTTTGCAGCTTTCTCATTTGCCATGCTTTTAACAATAGGGTGAATGAATGTGGATTAATAACATAGTACTTGGACCAGTTATTGTATTTGAAGGGCTTATCGTTGTCTCATGCTCCTCCACGAGGAGTAACAGGCGTAAGTAAGTAAGTAAAGGAGCGATCTACTGGACAGTAATGCTTATAATGAAGTTACTAGTTTTCTTAACACTTCACACTACATATGTACATTCCGTCCTAATAAAAAGCTTACCTTATTCCAAACTTGAATTCCCTTCCTTAATTTGAACATACTCCACCCTAGTAAATATCACAAATCATTGTTTTTTCTTATTGCATTATCTCATCTGGAGCGTCTAACAACATTTCACTCTTGCAACAATAGCTAGCATGAATTAAATCTACTAATTTATTATACCTTTTTCCGTTCCATTACAAAATATTAAGCATTTTTCATATCCCAGTGCCTGCTGCTCCTTTTGTTAAGTTTTTCTTCAGAACCTTGCTCTGAGGCCACAGCTATGGAACTTCTGACATCTGTAACAAACTTGACACGCGCGTTTTCTCAAGTTCATAATCCACACAAAGTGCTCTACAAATCTACTTTATAACAACTATAAACTCACAACGTTGCATTGCAAAAATACTTAGCACAACCAGAATTCCAACACAATAATCCGGAGAGTGGACCTCGTGTGTAACGTGGATGCGATGCCATTTTGAAAATATTTTGAAGAATGTACTCAGTGTAACACTAAAGCACAAGCTTAATCATTCACGCTTCAAGACATTTGCACGAATGTACTATTATTCACTTTTATTGAATACATCTAATTAACGGCCTTACTTGGAAAGCATACTGTGGGCCAACAAATGTTGTAATTTGTAGATCGCCTCTGTAAAAATGGCGTGTGTCTGCCCTTAGGGTTTGTTGCGCTTAGTCATTCTCTTACATCCCTTACCAAGTTGTCTACTTAAAACATTTTAGATTTTACTGCTGATTACAATTCATTAAATATGTGTAACTTAAATGCGGTTGAGCATATCGTGGCAAAAATAAGGAAAATGCGGTCTTTACCTTCTTCGTAATAAAAGTCTTTGCCAGTTTACCGACTTGATCAAATTGTTACAGAAGATATAATCTTAACTGTATTAAGTTAGTCAGTATGGTTGATATATTACAAGGCACATTGGCCAAAGAATCAGGGTGGTAACACTCTTCACATAGAAATATAAATAATATTAATGAGACTCGGATTGTCGATACAGGAGTTAGCTAGCTGTATGAGGGTTGCGTTGAGACGGGCAACTGATGTTCGAGAATTAATTTACATAGAGTTGAGAGCTTCTAGAAATAGCGGCCCTATATCTTTCTGAGATATCTGAAGTATTAGTGATGGTGTGGGACGACGTCACATGTTCCGTATGTGTTTTCGGTGGCATATCACAAAGGTGGTAAAAGGGAAGGAATGAGATGCAGAGCAAATAATCTTTACGGCTACTGAAGTTGAATCAATAGTGATGGGTAAGTAAGGTATAACTACTTAAACTTATTCTCTTTCATTAATCCAATTTCCAAGCAAGAGCATTTTAGAAGGCTAAAGGCAATAAACCTAATTATTGCGATGAATGGACAAAGGAGAGTATAAATGGAGGCAAATGAAAAAAAGCCGAAAGTATGGTGTTATGTGTATTTTTAAAATGTAATAAAGTGCTGAAAATACACTATACAGGTACACAAACGGCTCTCTGTTTTTCTCTTCAAAGCTGCTACAGATTATTTTTATTATTATACGATTTGTAGGGTCAGAAAGGGACTTCGTTTTAGCACAATTGTCCTGTTATGCCTTTATTAGGGTTTCTCAGTGGGAAGTAAAACCATTTCAGGGCTACAAACATTAGTCGGAGAGGTATTCGGCATAATAAATTAGCTTTGATGCAATTTGATACTAAATCATATTGTGCCGTCAATACACACCAGAAAAGCTATAAAATTCATCTTAAACATGAGCGTTCTCAAGGAGTACCGCTGCCAGACAAAGTGCCATAATTACTGAAAAGAATTACTCTATCTCACTCCTCGAATATTTTTTTCATAGGTTATACCACCTGGATTGTGAATGAACATAAAGTCTTATAATCAAGAGATACTTGATGTCGTTGATACTTAGAACTCAAACAACATATTGTTAGTTTTGCCACTTGATTAACGCAGAATACAGTATACATCTACCGCACCCTAACGTATAGAACCCCTCACAGTCGCAAATCAAAAGGCAGAAGACTGAAGAAAGTGCTTGTTGGTTAAGAATCAAAATGTACAGAAGATCATGGGTATTTGTAGATATTAGCGTTTGTTATATCAACATAATAACTCAAGTAATTCGTGAAGAAGCATGTTATGCTACCGTCCAATAATAGGATGCCACAATGATATTCTAGAAATCCCCATCATTTTCTGATTGGATGGAAATACTTCGGCTCCTTTTGGGCCTCTGGGGGTTCTGTCATAATTCTCGGAAGCCGTCCCAACACATATAGTTAATCATCTTGTCCTAGTCAGGCACGATCGTTTCAAAAATGTTATGTGGTTTCGTAATTGTTGCGAATCAACTTTGCCTTTGCGTATTTATTGCATCGAGGAATACTCGATAGACTTTGGCTCGATTAGTTTCAGTTTACGTTTCGAATTTCTTCAAAATCCACTTTGTATTACTCTTTTTAGTTGTGATTGTCTGGTGTATTTGGTCAATTTCCCCCCTCGATATCCGTTTGAAATGGTCGGCTCTACTGAAATATGTTGACATTCAAATTGCTTATTCGCTGTAGAGAAGAGGATGCAATGCGATGAGTGTAGAAACTGGTTTCATAAGATGTTTACTCGTTTAAAACCCACAGCATCTATATGCACTCAAAGCCTAACCCTCTCTGGTTTTGCGTACTTTGTTGTTTGAGTAAGCCATTACTTATCTTGGAGGCAATTAGCCTTCTGGCGTTGTCTGAACTGGTAACACGGGTCATAATAATAATTTATTCCCAAATA